CAATCAAGAAATGGGCAGAAGACATGAACAGACATTTTTCCAAAGAAGACATCCAAATGGCCAACAGACACTTGAAAAAGTGCTCAACATTGCTCTGCATCAAGGAAATACAAATCAAAATCTCAATGAGATACCACCTCACACCGGTCAGAATGGCTAAAATTAACAAGTCAGGAAATGATAGATGTTGGTAGGGATATAGAGTAAGGGGAACCCTCCTAGACTTTTGGTGGGAATGCAAGTTGGTGCAGCCACTCTGGAAAACAGTATAGAAGTTCCTCAAAAAGTTGAAAATAGAGCTACCATATAACCCAGCAATTGCACTACTGGGTATTTACCCCAAAGATACAAATGTAGTGATCCGAATGGGTACACGCAGTCCGATGTTTATAGCAGCAATGTCCGTAATAGCAAAACTATGGAAAGAGCCAAGATGTCCATCGACAGATGAATGGATAAAGGAGGGGTGGTGTATATATATATATATATATACACAATGGAATATTATGCAGCCATCAAAAAGTATGAAATCTTGCCATTTGCAATGACGTCGATGGAACTGGAGAGTGTTATGCTGAGCGAAATATGTCAGAGAAAGACGTATCATGTGATCTCACTGATATGAAGAATTCTTAATCTCAGGAAACAAACTGAGGGTTGCTGGAGTGGTGGGGGTTGGGAGGGATGGGGTGGCTGGGTGATAGACATTGGGGAGGGTATGTGCTATGGTGAGTGATGTGAATTATGTAAAATTGTTGAATGACAGACCTGTACCTCTGAAAGAAATAATATAGTATCTTTTAAAAAAAAAGAAGATAGTAGGAACGGAAAAATGAAGGGGGGGAATCAGAGGGGGAGACGAACCCTGAGAGACTGTCGACTGTGAGAAACAAACTGAAGGTTTTAGAGGGGAGAGGGTTGGGGAGATGGGTTAGCCTGGTGATGGGTATTAAAGAGGGCAGGTATTGAGTGGAGCACTGGGTGTTATATGCAAACAATGAATCATGGAACACTACATCAAAAACTAATGTTGTAATGTATGGTGATTAACATAACATAATAAAATAAAAAAAAAAGAAAATTAGAAATAATACAGCCCGGAAATAAAAAAAATAAAAAAGAAATGCTACTTGCCAGATGTTCTAGTATTCTGTCTTTAGAAGAAAGTTAATTTGATTTTCCCTCCTAAAACTATTTCTGTAGTCAAAACTAATTGCCAAGTCAACCTTTAAGAATCTGTGTATTTTTTTCTGAGTGTTCATTTGAAAAGTAATATAGTTACTGAAGCAACGCTTATTCTTATCAATTTAAAAAGACTTTAGGGGCACCTGGTTGGCTCGGTCAATTAAGGGTCCAACTCTGGATTTTGTCTCAGGTCATGATCTCAGGGTCATGAGATTGAGCCCCATGTTGGTTCTCTCTCAAATAAATAAATAAATAAATAAATAAATAAATAAATAATAAAAATAAATTAAAAACAAATTTAAAAAATAAAAAATAGGATTTAAATCAGTAATGTCTTAAAATCATGAGACTACATTAATCTTTTGTTATTTCTTAATGCCATTTGGACTAAAAATGCTATGACTCAAAGATAATAACAACATTTACCTATTTTTCCATATTTTTAAGCAAATAATGAGCTTTGGTATATTGGTTCTTTTTTTTTAATTTGTATTTGCATTTACTTGAAAAGATAAAATACGTGAAGAAACAACTTACATAACAATTCTGATTTTTTTTTCTTTTTAGTATCCACAGATAACCTTAGAGGCATTTTCAGTTGTTATGACACAGTTGCTTGGAGTTAGTCTGGGATTAACATATAATGATGATATCTTCACTTGTTACTGCCCAGGAACTACATGCATAATGAACACCAAAGCAATGTAAGGTTTTATTTTTGTCAAATCTATATCTTCTCTTGGGAAATGTTGTAGTATTTTTTAATGTATAATCTCTTTCAGGATAACCTGATTAAGAATATTTTTTATTAAATAAACATGCACTTATTTAATGTTTATTAAAGGAAGAGAGTATTTGATAGTGTAGAAAATGTGCTTAATCATTCTATATTCTATAGTGTAGAGAGAAGGTGGATGTTGATGATGACTTTCTGGGTAAAATTTATTCATTCACCCCCAGATTTTTAATGAGTATCTACTGTGTCCCGGTTATTGTGTTAGTTTGATTTACAAATGATTAACAAGATAGATAAGTCCTAAATATATTAGTCCATCAGGGACAGAAAATTAAAAAGTGGACATAAGAACAAACAAAATCTAAACAGTTTATGATAGCCAAGAAAAAAATGAATAGGGAAAATATGGGGAGAAAAAACTTTCTGATAAAGTGGTCTAGGAATAATTATGGAAATAATTATGTCGGGATCTGAAAGAGAAGGAACAAATCTGGTTATTAAAGAGCTCAATGAAAACTTTTCAGTGAAACTAAGTGAAAACTTTTCAGTGAAACTTTTCTGTTATACTTGGATAACAACAAGCTTGAAAAGCTTGACAGACTGAAATAAGGAGGTTGCAGGGAGGATAACAATGAAAAAAAAAAAACTGGGACTATAAGGAAGAATGTTTTAGACATAAGAAAAAGAAGTAACATAGAGTGACACTAAAGAATTAGTCAGGGGAAGAAGTCCAGGATGTGATAAAGGAATGTAAGAAAGAGCCTGATCATGCATTCATGATGTGGGAATTGGGATTTTATAATAAATAAAATGAAATATATTCTTAACTGGTTCGTTCAGTATGGATAATAAAAATTATCTTGTAAAATAAATGTAAAATATATCAGAGAGAACTATAATATAGTGATTTTGGGAAATGACAAATTTCACAACGATCCATAACAGTTTCTTAAGACTGAGAGAAAAGGAGATGTCAAGAATTATTTGTAGGTAGGGGTTCTGGATCAAGAAAGCAACATAGGAAGAATCTGAACTCATGTCCTCCCACAGACACAACAAATCCACAGCTATGTATGGAACATTTTCCTCTAAAAAAATATAAAAATTAGCTAAGGACTCCTACATATTGGGCAAATGAGAAAAAGCCCATATCAGAGTGGGTAGGGGAGGCTAAGACACAATGTTACATCTTTCTGTAATTCCCACCCCTCTCATGCCAACCCGCAATTGGGAAGGAACTGAAATCAGGAGTTTCTCCTTGAGGAATAAAGGGTTTGAACCCTCATTGGACACCCCAACTTTCAAGATAGCAGGTGCTCATTTGGCTCACTCCATCTGTTGTACTCTAGAATGTCAATCTCTTCCACAGAGGAGCTTTTAGAGTTGTCTGGCATAGCACTTTCTGTGGCTGTTACCCAAAAGGCAATCCTTGATCACCTGGCTTTGGTGGCCAGAAACGTTTGTATTCCTGGGTCTCATGGAACTGTAACAAATGGAGAGACAGTTATTGGCCAGCTACTGCTTACCTGGTACTGCACAGACAACAGATTGAAACACAAACCCAGACTTTCTATGAAATGGCCTATTTGCTCATCCTGGAGCTTCTGCATGTGGGTCAGGCTTGTGGTTTGGGACACCTCTAGAGTCCTACTAAGGTGAACTCTGGAAATGGAGTCTATGCCATTTTGTGCCCTCGCTCTGCCTCACAACATCTCTGGGATCTCAGGGAAAGGAACTTTTACAATCATCTGGTGCCCCAATTTTTGAAAATGCTGCACAGTGGACACCTCTGTATTTCCTGGCTCTGTTGGCCATCAGGATGTATGTTTGTGGTACCCTAGCACTGTGTGTATTTTCATACTTTAAAATCTGTTACTTGAGGGTCTGTCTTCCAATCACCCTGAACCTAGGTCCTGATTGAAATCCTCCTCTTTGGGACAATAAAAGGTCTTGGTACATCCTTCACCACTGGAGCCAAAAACTAAAATATGCTGCTTGGACAATCACAAGAGTTTGAGAAAACCAAGAGTTAGACAAGGTTGAATGGCAAGTTTCATCTCCTATGTGAGGCCACCCTTCAAAACTGGAAGAGGTCGCTGTTTTATCTAATACATAGCATTGGACAGAATAAAACAAAATGAAGAGACAGAGTGTTCCAAGCAAAAGAAGGTGGCAAAACATCAGAAAAGGATCTTAATTATACAGAGGTAAGTAATCTACCTAAAAAATTTGAAGTAATAGTCATAAAGATGCTCACCAAGCTCAGGAAAAGAATGAATGAACAAGGTGAGAACATCAACAAAGAGTTATAAAATATAAGAAAGTACCAAGTAGAAGCCATAGAACTAAAGAATAAAATAACAGAACTGAAAATTCAATAGAGGGATTCAACAGCAGACTAGATGAACAACAAGAAAAGATCAGTGAACTCAAGAACAGGGCAGTGGAACTCAAGCAGAGCAGCAAAAAGAAAAAGAAAATAATAAAAATGAAGATAAATAAGGGGCTTACTGGACAAATTAAGCAGACCAATATTCACATAATAGGGATCCCAGAAGGAGAGGAAAGAGTCAAAGGGACAGAAAACTAGTTAACATTTGTCACCATAAAGAATAACATATGTCCTTTTTTTTCTCGTGATAAGAACTTTTAAGATCTAATCTCTTAGCAACTTTCAAATGTGCAATACAGTGCCCCTCCACCCTGCCACTCCTGGTATACACCCTTGGCCAGTACAAGAGCCCCATCCAAGCAACCCTCCATCCTGCCATATCAAGTGGGTGCCATCAGCCAGCCCTAGAGCCCCTCCCAAGGGCCCCAAACTGGGGATCCAGCCACAGACTGGCCTGCAAGAGTCATGACCTGGACTCTCAGGTGGGCCGAGGGCCAGCCCTAATCACTGGTGTGCCTTGCAGCTGTCCCTCACAGGTGCACTGAGAGACAGCCCCACTCACCAGAAAGTCTGTAGCAGTCATAGCCTAGCCAGAACAGGAGAATGCACACAGCCCATACAGGGGGCAGTCCTGGGGCACCCGGCTTTGGTGTCCAGGTGGGTTTGCACTACTGGGCCCTACAGGACCACCTTCTTCTTGAAGTTATTTCAAGAAATAACTACCTAGTACATAGAAACACACAGAAAGAAGCAAAATGAGGCACCAGAGGTTGTAAATGAAAGAACAAGATGAAACCTGAGAAAAAGAATGAAATGGAGATAAAGTTCAAATTAATGGTCATAAACATGGTCACCAAACCGTAAGAAGAATGATCACAGTGAGAACTTCAACAAAGACATAGACAATATAAAAAAAGAACCAATCAAGCTGAAAAATGCAATAATGAAATAAAAAAAAAATACACTAGAGGTAACCAACAGCAGATTAAATGAAGCAGAAGACTGGATAAGCAATATGGAAGACTGGATAGTGAAAAGTGCCCAGAGAAGCAAAAAGAAAAAAAAAAAGAATTTAAAAAATTGAGGTTATTTTAAGGAACTTCTAGGGTAACACCAAGCATACTAGCATTCATATTATAGGTGCCCCAGAAGGAGAAGAGAAAGAGAAAGGATCAGGAAACATATCTGAAGAAATAATGTCTGAAAACGTACCTAACCTGGTGAAAGAGATCCAAGTTCAGGAAGCACAGAGTCTCAAATAAGATGGACCCAAAGAGAGCAAAGACACATTATATCACAGTGTCAACATTTAAAAATCAACAGAGAATCTCAAAAACAGCAAGAGAAAAACAACTAGTTATGTATAAGGGAACCCTCATAGGATTATCAGCTGGTTTTTCAGCAAAAACTTTACAGGCCAGAAGGGAGTAGCATGATATATTAAAATTAATGAAAGGAATACTTACAGTAAAAAATACAGTACCCATCAAGATTATCACTCAGAATTTAAGGAGGGATGAGGAGTTTCTCAGACCAGCAAAGCTGGAGGAGTTCATCAACACCAGACAGGTCACACAAGAAATGTTAAGGGAGTTCTTTCAATTGAATAGAAGAGGCCCTAACTAGAAGTAAGAAAATTATGAATGAAATGAATCTCACTGGTACAGGTAAACATATAGTAAAGGCAGCAGGTCAACCACCTATGTAACTAGTACAAAGGTTGAAAGACAAAAGTAGACAATCATCTACCTATAATAATTAGTCGAAGTATACACAAAATAAGATGTCAAATATTATATCAAAAAACAAACATAGGGGGAGTATAAATGTAGCACTTTTGGAACACATTTGAACTTAAGCGACCATCAACTTAAAACAGACTGCCATATACATAGGATATTACATATGAAGCTCATGTAAACACAAAACAAATATCAGTAATAGTTAGACAAAAAATAAAGAGAAAGGAACTTAAACATAACACTAAGGGAGGTCACCAAATACCAACAGAAGACAGCAAGAGAAGAAGAAGGAAACAGAACTACCAAAACAATAAGAAAACAATCAATAGAATGGCAGTAAGTCTATATCTACCAATAATTTAAATATATAAATAGACTGAATTCTCCAATCAAAAGACATAGGGTGTTTAAATGGACAAATAAAAACAAGACTATATATGATACCTACAATAAACTCATGTCAGATCTAAATACACACAGAATGAAAGTGAAGGGATGGACAAAGATATCCCATGCAGATGGAAATAAAAAGAAAGCTGGGGTAACAATACTTCTATCAGACAAAATAGACTTTAAAACAAAGCCTGTAATAAGAGACAAAAAAAGGTCATTACATGCTGATAAAGGAATAAATCCAACAAGATGATGTAACACTTGTAAATATCTATGCACTTAATATAGGGGCACCTAAATACATGAAGTATATATTAGCAGACACAAAGGGAGAAATTGACAGTAATAAAATAATAGTAGGAGACTTTAACACCCTACTTATATCAATGGATAGATCATCCAGACAGAAAATCAATAAAGAAACATTGGCCTTAAATGACA